TGTAATATAGTATGTGTTAGTCAAATTTAATATTCAAATTAACTTATATATGTATATATATATATATATATATATATATATTAATAAATTTCGAAAATATACTACTACATTAAATTTTTAATTAATATAATATACGAGCATATTATGATACATTTGATATTTATTATTAATATTTATTGTATATTTTTCCATTCTTATAAATTTGATATCACGCCTGAATTTATATTTTCTGATATTATTGTGTAATTATTGTATATACACATACGAGAATATGAATTTGCAGAATATAAAGAACAGAAATTATCAAAATTGAAATTTATACGAAACAAAGTTTTCTTAGAATATCATCTCAGTGCAAAATACAGTCATGATACATATGTATACTGTATTTCTAATTTGAAAATTTCACGTTTAGTACGATATTCAACCTATGTTGTTGTATAATATTGTTGAATTGTCTGTAGCAATATAATAATGCTAAAAAATTTCAAAGTTAAAATTGTTGAATTTTGTTAGTAGTATATATTTTCCATACTTGCATATCAGGGTACATATATACTTATATATTAAAATAAAATATATAAATCATTTTATTATAATAAAATATATATATACATATTAGAAGATAACAGAACATTTAAATTTCTTTCGTATTTTTATTTTTTTTTCTATAGTATATATATACGAAAATGGATAATATGGGGCGATCATAATTTCTTTAAATTTTTGTCGATAAAAAAGATAATTTAAAAATAATTTTTGAATAACAATTATTAAATATTGGTATTAATCGAATTTTAAGTTATTTGTATATATCGAATATATTTTATAATACATTGTAAAATTACCGGATTTTTAATGTTTTATAAAATTATAATCGAAAATTGAAAAAATTATATTCTTTGTTTTTCTTTTTATATTTTTCGTTTTATTCGTAAAATTCATATATATATATTATATATTTAAATTTATATATATATTTAAAAAAAAAAAATAAACATATATATATATGTACATATATATATATATATATGTACATATATATATATATATCAGTGGCTTCAAGCACAAACGACTTAAGTCTGTTTTAGTGATTTCGAGATAAATGCATTTTAAACTTTAAATTTAATTTTGAAAAAAGTTATGAAGTTTTTTGAGCCAATTTTTTTTTTGATCGAAAGATAATTAAAAAAGGAAGCGATTAACTCATAATCTGAAGTAAAACAACTAATAGTATTCTCATAATTATGAAAAAAGTGAGATAGGCGGTTATACAAAATTTATAAAAAGCACTTTGCAAAGCATAACTCGACTTAGGCGATTTGTGAAAAATTACTTTTGCATTTTCGTTAAACTTAAGTCGACTTAAGCTGTTGTTGCAAAACTGAAGATATGGTTTTAGGTGACTTAAGTTATACTAAAAAGGGAAGAAATATATATATTATTTTTACGTTATTTGATTTTTCACTCTTTTTTCAAATCATTGTCATAAAAACCATAAATTGAGGTAAAAAATGAATAAACTTCAAATAAAAATTTTTTCTAAAAGCTTAAAAATAATTTTTTCATTAAATTTAAGAAAGGTGACAGTATCTTTTATTCTCTCTCGGATTCTCCAACTAAATATGGATGAGTATCTGCTAAATCTCCAGTCTTTATCGTTTTGTAAAATTTTCGAACCAAAGGATCAATAAATTGCATCAAGTACTCTAAGTTTTTCTTTTTTGGTACTAATTTTCTCTTCTTCTTCAATTTGGAGCATGTGTTGAAAATCTAACTAGTTAACACCTCGTCTTATAAAAAATATAAAAAATCTTTGTATAAACTGTTCTTGTAAAATATTTTTGGAAGTGAATTTTTTTAAATCTGTGGTGCGACTCTTTCCACTTAAGAGAATTTCAAAAAGTAATTCAATTACAAAAAGACTTCATTGTGCAACGGATCTGACAAAGTTGTTACATTATTGTAAAAATTAGTACATAAAGTAATTTCTAAAATGAGTTTATGAGTTTGGTGTTTGTTATTTTATTTATGTACTACTCGTATAGTCCATATGACTTTCTTACTTGTTCATAATGATACTAAATGCGAATTAATTAAAATTTTTAAATCAAAAACAAAATGAAATCGAGTGTGAGTCATTACAACTACTGTAATGAAAAGTCAAATTTGATAGTGAACTCGAACTCGTATAGAAAATAATGATTCGATACTTGTGAAAATTAAATCTTGGAGACGTATTATTAATTACATATAGAAAATGGTTTGCTCGTCAGTTTTTCTCTAAGTTCTGCCGTAAAAAGTATATAGATCTCCTTAAAAAGTTGTGGTAAAGTAAATTGGTTCGGAATTTGCTCTCCTATCATAGAGTATATAAGTATTTGATTAACAAATAAACAAAGAATATTGTAAGTTTGCTCGACATTTTTATTTTAGCTGTCAGCATTTACTTTTCAATTAAGACTCCATACAAATTAACCACGAGTCAGTTTCTAGCGTTCATGTACTTGAGTGCATTCAGCAAGCCCAGTCGCGAAAGATTAAGCGAATTTTCTAACCGTTCGGCAAATTGTAAAAGGATTTTTCTTAAAAGAATAAAAGTAGAAAGCCTTTCATATTTTTTTATCTCTAAAGATATGTTCACATGCCCTATAGGACTCAAAAACTTGCTTTTGAAGGTTGTCAATTTTAAAATCAGGATCATTAATACAGTCACCACTACCAAAGTCAATTGCGGTTTTCAAAACTGTATTAACTTCGGTTTTCAAAGTAAGATCTGTAGTGTAAATACTTGTTTATTAACTATAGGACCAGTTTCGCTAATTTCTATGCTTTAAAACACACTGAATCCGTTACGTTAGTTTCAAATATATTGCAATACCTCTAACATCCGCCACAATCATCTCAGCTCTCCTAGCAAGTTCCAAAATTTTTAACGTACATTTATTAAGCGTGAATAAAGTTTATATTGGATAATTTTTGCATTATTTAACAATTTCCAACATCAGCACATTTAAAAACAATAATAAAAAACTGTCTTTGTAAAAAATACTTCCTTCGAAATAACAAAAATATCATAAATATTTGAAAATCGAAGAAATTTAATCTTACGGAAATGAGTAATAAAAAGTATAACAAAATATTGTTATTCCCAGACGTACCAATTTTATATATTGAAAACCCTTGCAAATTATAATAATTTGAATTTCCTAAAAAAATGTGTTTTACTAGTGTATAATAAAAGTATTGCTTTGTAATACAATCATTAAAATAAAAACTCTTGTTAAACACAAAAATTTGATCTTCCTAATAACATGTGTTTTACAAGGGCGTAATAAAACAACACTTTACACTTTCTTTAATAATACAATTAGACCACAAAGGCAAAACAATCTACCATCAGGTAGCTAGCCACGTGTCATTTTAACATGGGAACTTCGTCAATTGAAAAAAACATTTGTCGCAGGTAAATCACGAAATGACCTACAATATTATTTGTTAAATAAAAAAATTCAAATCTTAAACATGGGATATTTGGGTAATTAGAGCATTAAAAATGCAGGTAACTTGTGCAGATGTTTTATATTTTGGGTTAAAAAATACAACTATCTTACTTGTCGCTGAATGTAAGATTTAATTTTAACTATAGTGAACAAGTTTTAAATCACGGACATAAAATACCTACACTATATATCACATAAAATAATATGTTAAGCGTTATAAAATATTTTTTATTATAAAAAACTAAAAAATATTCTATACTGATTATGCATTATTTTGAACACTAAACGCTTAATTTTGATGTTTTGTTCTTACTTGCACGCGTTATAAAAACCTAACTCGACATAAGAAGCCTTTTGGAATATAATTGTATTTGCAATAATCGCCTAACTCGAGATGAGTTTAAAAAACTACCAATTTTTATTTTACACAAATCGCTTATGTCGAGTTAGTATTTAAAAAAACTCAAAATTAATTTTGCAACAAAAGCCTAACTCGAGATAAGCGGTTGTAAAAATTCATACAAATAAAAAAAAATGTCACTAATTTCGATTTGCAACAATAGCCTATCTCGAAATAAGTGGTTTGTCCAAAACATAAAAAAGATGTTTTCTGCTCTTAACTCGATTTAGGCGATTAGTGCAAGTGCATATGGTTGCCATTTCGAGTTAGGTCATGTGTGAATCCGACAATAACTCCGGCTACAACAGTCATAGAACCACCAAAATTTGTGAGCATATGAAACTCAAAACGGAGAATTCGCTGGTAAACATATCTCATTTTTGTCTTAACTCGAGTTAGGCGGTTTGTGTTTGAGGCCACTGATATATATATATATATATATATATATATATAAAGCGAATGCAGTTTATTTATATACTCTATTTATTTTTATATTTTTTTTTATTCTTTATATATTATATAAACTATTAATATATATATACTAATAAATATATGTATATATATATATATATATACATATATGAATATTTATATAGATATATTTTTTAAAATATATATATATTTACTATTAAATATATATATATATATATATATATATATATATATATATATATATATATATATATTTCTATATCTATATAAATATTCATATATGTATATATATATATATAAATATTTATTAGTATATATATATTAAAAGTGTATATAATATATAAAGAATAAAAAAAAATATAAAAATAAATAGAGTATATAAATAAACTGCATTCGCTTTATATATATATATATATATATATATATATATATATATACTATATTTCATGCTCGATATATATATGATTTATATTTGTATTATATATTGTTATATTTGTATTATTATATAAATGGTATATGATATATGGAATAAATTTCATATTTTCTCTAAATTCGGTATATATATCTATGTATATATATGGATATATATACATACATATAAATTTGCTTCATATTTCATATAAGTAAGTATATAACATTGCATATATATATAAATGGGAAGAAAGAATTTGTGTTTTTATATTATAATTATGTTTATTGTTTTTTATTATATATTTTTATATGTATATACATATACATAAATATACATTCATATATATTACATATATATTATAATATATATGCATATATATTAATTATGTAAATTTATATTTTATATGTGTGTAGTTGCGTTTCTTTTTTTTTGGTTTTTTTTGTTTTTTAATTATTATTTTTTTTCTAATTTATATATATATATATTTTAATTTTTTGTTTTTATACATTATCAAGTTTTAATTTAAATTATTTTGAAAAAATTTATTATTATTATTGTTATATATATTTATATATATTTATAGTATATTATATTATATATAAAATAAGCATATTGTTAGAACCAGCCGCCTCCTCCGAGTTTTGAGCTAAGACCACCGATTCCTTTGCCAAATAAATTACCAACCCGACCAGCTACCATATTTGTAACATTACTAATATTGGTGACAACATTGCCGTCCTCACCAATTGGTAATGGCAATGCGGTTGCAGCAGTCGGTTTTGGTTTTGGTGCAGCACCTTCTTCACCTTCTTCTATTCCTTCCAAATTTCTTTTTTTTTATGTATATATCGTCGTAAATATAATATTGAGACCATATATTAAAGTTGATTAAATGAAGTATATAAAACGAAGAAAATTAGAATATATGTGAGAGGAAGATATAAAAGAAAATATATGTATAATTAATAAATTTGTAAGAAATTTTATAGAGAGTATATAAGAATATATATATATGTACCAAAATGCAGATAATCTAAATAATGTCAATTTATTAATAAATTTTTTTTTGTGTTACCATATTTTTATCAAATACAGGCAATAAATTAATATTATAGTTCTGCATTTTTTTTTTAATTTTGTCTTATTTTTTTCTTATTTTATGTATAAAGTTATTTACATGTAGAAATAAACTTACTCTTCACCATCTTGATCTGGCATTGTTAAAGCACAAGTTGCTTCTTCAGTTGCCATTCTTTGTGCAACAGTTTGATACGCTTTTGAATTTAATTTTTCATCAATAACACCTTGGAGTTCAAAATCCGAATATATTTTCTGATTTTATTGAAATTAAGAGCGACGACACACACAACGATATATGTATTTATATTAGAGAGGCCGAGATAAAAATAGAGATAGAAGCGAGATGTTTTATAAACGTAAAATTCAATTTGATAACGTTAAAAATTTTCGTTTTGTTAGGTTTTTGTCCATGATATTGCGGTATATTTCCAAAAAGTTGTATACAGAATATAATGTTGAAATTCATTCGCGTTAAAAATTCATTTGCAAGTATAGAAGTTCATTTGAAAATTCATTTGTTGTTGTTATTATTCCAAAATGTATAAAAATTCAGGATTCCAGCATTTTTTTCGGATTTTATGTATTTGTTATTTATATATATAATTATTGGTAAAATATAGAAATAAAAATATTTTATATTAAAAATTCATCATTGATTTTTAAAATAAATATAAAAAATAATAATAAAAAAAAAACATTAAAAATAAAAAAATTTTTAAAAATTTTAATTTTTTAAATTGTCAATGTGATTCAAAAAGAAAAGAAAACAATAAATATAATTTTCGAAAAGTTTCAACCCCCCCCCCCCCCCCCCCCCACCTTTTTTTTATGATGGTGCTACCTTTCCACTTATAGGATATTTAAACAACGCTTTTTTGCTTATGTTGGAAATCCTTTTATAGCTTAGAATTGGAATAATTTGAATATAAAGAACGTAAACTCTATAGATTCGTTACACTTTGAATTGCTTTGAATTTTCACTTATATTATTTATAATTACTATGTATGTACATCTGTATGAAACGGCATATATAACAAATTTAACCAATATTTTTAGTTGTATAATATTAATTGCTATTAATATTAATTGCTAAGTAGGATTAGACTGCAAATTAATTATCAATAATGATAATTATTGATAATCGTGTATAGGAGCTTTATGATTTTCTATAACAATATATATATGTGGAATTATAGAATTAAATTTGGAAATTTATTTCATTCAACAAATTTCTGTGGTTAGGAAACGATTAAATTGTTATCAGTTTACTTTATTTAGCAAGATTTAAATTCAATATTATGTTGAATATTGCACAATAAGTAATTACGGATATGAATTATTGTTCAATAATAATAAATATTAATTCTTATGTCATATATATTCAAATAATCTATTTAAATGTTATACTGGGGTAATATTTCGCCATACAGTTTACTGTGTACATATACGGTAATTTTACTCTGATCTACTGATAAAGAAATAAACGGACTGAAAAAATTTAACCGGAAATATATTTTTTCGATTAAGTTAATTATCGATGGTATATATAAGCATCATTAACTTCCAAAATGTAGTAATATGCTTCTCTTCCTGTTCTTTAGATTTATTTTTCTCGTTGAATCACATTCGTCTTATATAAAGAAATGTTTACAATTAAAGCACACACTTTGCAAGTAACTTTTTTTTTCTTGAAATTTTATGTATATGTATATATATATATTTGTTTAATTATATACATATACATATATACATTTTAAAATTAAAAATCTTTAAATTTTTAATTATAAATATAAAAAATATTACAGAAAAAAAAGTTCATTACCAAATATTTACAATTTACCTGTTAACTCTAGCCCAAAAACAAAAAATATATATAATAAAATATATGTATATATATAATGTGCCTAAATACATATATTTTTTATGTATATATGTATTTATAATATGCATACACATATATTTTTTATATATTATATATTTTCATATTTTTATTAAATTTTTTCTAATTTTAAAAACGAAATTTAAAAGCGCGATTAAAATAGAAAAAACGAGAAGAACTTAATACGAGTATTCGTGTTTTTTTTTGTGTTGAAATTCTTATATTATTAATTTTATATTATGTGACTGGTTTTATTGGATCCAATATTTTAATATATAGTTAAATCATTAAAAAGGTCTTAATAAAACATTTAACTATATAAAATGTGAAACTATTACAGAAATTCGACAGTGGAATTGCATTAATACAGTATTATTCCAATTAGCATAATTATAGTTATAGCTGATTTTGTGCATTGAGGCTGAAATTACTGGAGTTTAAGCAACAATTCTCATGTCATATATGGCGGTGAGTCAGGCCGCCGTCAATATATATATATATATATTATGTGAAAGATGAATGGAGGAATATTTGTTATAGAAATAAAATAATTATATACTCGTATATAAATTGTTATTTATTTTGATTATATTGTTATTAATTTTTCTTGATTTTTAGATATAGGAGATATAAAAGTTATCTCAAAATATTACGTATGTAGTTTGTTTTCTTTTAAATCGTTATATATATATATATATATAGGGAATTTTAATTCAAAATGTTTTTAATATACATTTTAATTTTATAAAAATAACATAATTTTTGAATTAATTTTAACTAATAGAATAATATATAAGTTATTTTTTTTGGTGTCAAGTACGAGTATAAATAAATAGCAGTATATTTGAATCTGTATCGAAAATTAATGAGTGTTGAATAATCAAAATGCAGATTTAAGGTAAAATTGACTTTTTCTTCGTAATATATTAATATTGCTTGTAATGATCAATTTGGAATTTTAATTATTTTCACTTTTATATTATAATTCGTGGATTCAAAATTGCAGTAAAACGGTTGTCTAATAAACACAATTCAGCAATTAGAATTTTAAAGCTAGATCATGTATTAATATCGTGCTTATTATTGCAATATTGAAATTCGGAAACTTTATAATATTACAGAATTTTGAGTAAATTTTGTTATATAGCGCATTTTATGGATATGTTAACTGAATTTCGCATATATTAAACCCATTCACATTGAAAATTTAATTTCACCAATATTAAAAACAAGTACATTATATCAATATTATAATTATATCCGTAATGTTAAAAATTAAATAAACATTATTATAGAATTAGAACTTATTATAACTGATTTGTACATACGCAATTGATTGAATGAAATATAAAATAAATAAATAAATGTTTCTTACATACACGTTTAATAAATACTTACATACACGCTTAATATTATCTTCAGAATTATACGTTACTTTAACGTAAACGACTATTTATCCCGTATATGAATATAGGGGTGGGCAAACAATATAGTGCTCGAATATTTACCGTCATAGACGATATGTCTTAATTTTTTTTTAAATATAAAATTGTTTAAAGAAATTCTCTGTAGAATTCTGAAATCAAAATTAAAGTGACGGTATATTAATACCGTGTTGGTATCTATTACGGTATTAATTGAATATTTACTTTAAAGATTGTTTTCTTTGAAAATTGCCTTAAGTGACGGTATTTATATACAACTCAGTTTATGAATAGTAATTACTGAACATTGCAGCATTATATTGAAATTTTTAGGTTAAATTGAAATTTCTGTCTTAAATCTATGTTACGTCATATTATCATTTATATGTACATTACGGATATTTTTTCAAATTAAAATTCATTTCTTACATTTAATAAATATATAGGAAGTTAACAGGTAAAAGAAAAGAAAAGAGAAGAAAAAAAAAAAAGAAATGAAAAAAAAAAAACGAAGATTAAATTACGAAAAATGCAAAAAATATTTTTTTTTTTCTGTATGTGTGTTTTAAGAAAACGAGGTGTTGCAGTCACATAAAAAGACAAAAATTATCTTTAATAAAATTATTGGTGCAAAATTTTTTTCATTCACTTATTTTTATGGTACAATTATGTGGTCTTAAAGCAAAAAGCGTCTTCTTTTGGCTTAAGAGACTTTCAATTTTTTATCGCACTCTTATTTATACTATCATACAAACAATATCTTTTGTTCAGTCTGTGTTTCGTGCCGTCTGCATTTATATATGAACAGAGGAAAACAAAGAAAATATTTTAAGAAATTTTTTTTCTTTGGCAATATTAAATTTTCACAAAAAACTATAATACATATATATTGCTTGTCTAATTAAGACGTTTGTGCCTTGTGACCACTGATTTATATGCTGTTTATAAATCACGTTGATTTAAATTACTCTATGTTTCATAAAAATCTGTAAAATTCAATAATTATTAAATCTGTTTTTTTTTTTTTTTTTTGAAGATGCAGCGCAAAAAAGCTCATATTTTTTGTGTGTGATAATTGAAAAATTTTTACTTTTCAAAAAAATATTGTATATATTTTGAATGTATAAATAAAAAAAAATTATATTGTTGGAAAAATATTATTTGTTTTAAATGCTTAATATCCAAAAACTGCAGCATACGTTAATGTATACTAATTTATTATATTCAATTCAGCAATAATATATATAATTCAGAAGGTATAAATTGAGTCATATATGCATAAGAGACAAAAAAAATTAGTAATAAAAAAAGTAAATGATAGGAAAATTTTGTTATTAAGTTTTAAATATTAAAAATTTCTATCTCGAAATCATTTTCGTTCTTATATTCAAAAATTTAATTTCTCCATTATACGATAAAAATGTTGAAGATATATGCATTTGTCTTTATGTATTGGAATGTTTACGAAATCACAAAAAATAATGTTGCCATAATTTATTAACTACGTTAAGAATATCGTTTAACATATAAATATTTATGTTATACTGATATACATAATTCCAGAATATTTGCTGAATTGAGAGTTTGGAACATATAAAAAACGTTACGTGGACTTAAAAACTTAAATCTGACATATAATGAGCATTATTTTTAACATTAAATTAATATTGTAATTTTATAATAAACCTGTGAAACAAAATATTTATTACATAATTCAGCTTATAAATTTTATAATTGCTGAATGATGTAAATAATATACGATAAGATTGCACAATTGCATTTTTTTGTGCTAAAAATTTTCAATTTTTATACAATTAGTATTTTTAAACTGAACATTTTTTGGTATATATATATTTAATATTATATCGCAACTATGTGGAATATCAAAATGTATAAATTATTATTATTTCTATATTTTATATTTGAATTTAAATAGCAATTGTAATCT